ATCTGTGTACTTCTTTTTGTGCCACAGTTGTATATCACTTATGTGATAACCTCAACCATCTATCATTAAAGACCCAGTCATCACTAACTATGGCAGAGGATCTATGATGCCATGGGTTTGTTTGTCTTTCAGAGGTGTCGGGAACATTGTTAGGGTGTGTGGCACCATGGCATATTTGAAATACTAGAACATTTCAAATTAATATTGGCTAACCTTTGGCAGAAAGCTAAAAAAAGCTTGTGGGATTCTACGTCACCTCTTCAACCTTAATCTGACCTAAGAGACACTTCCATTGATGTGGAAGACCTCCTGCCTTGTTCGATTGCCAAAGAAGACTATAGACATGTTTCTCTGACATCCCACATTACAAAGGTCCTAGAGAGACTTATTTTTGTTCACCTCAGCAAGCGAACAAGCAGCTATCAAGATCCCCTGCAGATTATTATAACTATGAAGTTGGAGTTGATGAAGCCATCATAAACCTGCTTCAACAAACCTATTGTCATTTAGACAAGGCAGACAGCACTGTGATCATGTTCTTTAATTTCTCCAGTGCAAGATTCAGCTTGATTTAGTTTGTGAGAGTCTCCAGAAGACTCAGGTAGAGTGGATCAAAGACTACCTGCAAACAGACCATAGTTTGTTAGACTGAAGGGTCAGGTGTCTTATCAAGCAATCAGCAGCACAGGATCAGCCCAGGGGATGGTACTCTCCATTCCTTTTTACTCTGCGCATGTCTGTCTTCTAGTATCAGACAGAGCCCTGTCATCTACAGAAATACTCCGAAGACTCTGCAATCATTGGGTGTATCAAAGATTGACAAGAAAATTAGTACAGGGAACTGGTGAACCAATTTTTGGATTGGTTTGGAAACAATCATCTGATCCAGATTATTTAATAAAACAAGGGAGATGGTTGTAGATATCAGAAGAAACTGGAACACGTAGAAACATATTAACATCATGGGAGAAGACGTGGAGGTGGTGGAGGAGTATAAATACCTTGGTGTTCACTTGTAGAACAAACTCGACTAGAGAGCTAATGACTTAAAATTAATAAAGAAGGCAACCCTAAACCTTCGCAGAATTCTTCATAAGGTGAAGAAAATTATAGACAATAGTGAGCCTCCTCTTTAGAACATTTTTAAGCGGTAACAGAGTGTCTTCGGTAAGAGGCTTCTCCACATCTGGTGCAAGACAGACTGCTAAGGAAGATCCTGCCTGCCCACAGCTATCAATACCTACAACACCGGGTTCAAAGTTAAGTTATGAGTCACTGCAACATTTAATTTCCCTCTGGAATTAGTAAAGTATTTTTTTATTAAATTAACTTATTGTGTATTTCAACGGGAAATGCTTTAACAACGTTTTTGTAACAGGACTCCCCCCCCCCCAACAAAATACAGTATATGCTCAAATATAAAGTTTTAGATCAATATATTTTCTGTTAAAAAATTTGGACTTTTATAGAAAGTTTTTTTAGTCATAGATTATGCCAATAAAAACTTGTATCTAGAAATAAAAACATCTTTACTGTATAAATAAATCACATCAGCACTGTTTTTGCAAATATTTTTCACAGAAACTGAAACAAACACATAATTCCACCCCTTTTAGAGTCCCCACAAAAATTACATTGTTCTCATTTTTAGCAAACTTCAGACCTCTTTGCAGTTATTGTGGTTTTTGTAATGGAAACGAATCAGTGGAGCCCAGAAATCAAGCACCCTGAAGATCCACTCAAGCTGTCAGTGTCACCAGAGAAATAGAGCACCATTTCACTGCTGGAGAAAGCCTTATCCTTTTCTCCATTTTTTTTCCATCACCCCCTCCCCTTTCCTCCAAGGTGGAATCCAATTATCTCTGGTGGTCAGGAGTTAGGCTCCTTCAAAAGCCTTAAGTGGTTGATGGAGCTGTATTTTACTGACCATTGTAGGAGTGCCAGAGGCCGTCTCTGCTAAGATATGATCTCCCGCCAAAGTGAAAAGAAGTGTGCAAGGCAGGATCGCAGATCTCAGGGGATGGAGCAAGAGAGGGCTGTCATATTACATCATACAGTCTGTAGGAGCTGTCGATGAAATGTCAGTGAAAAAAAAAACAACCGTATCAAAAACCCAACTTGATGCCTCAATACTTTCCTCTCTGTGTGGCTTTTTTTCACATCTTGCTTATCTTTTATCACTGCATCTTCTTCCCACTCTGTTGTATTATTCTTTATGTCTAGCACTTGATCGCTACGTGATATTTTATTTGAACATCTTTATTTTATAAAATGTATCTGTTAATGATCAGGTTAGCATAAGAAAAAACTATGAAGCACTGCTTAAGCGCCAGTTTTATTTATTACTTAAAACAATACTGCATATATTTTGAACCAATTATTAGCCTAATTTGAGATGCATGATTTATTTTTTTGCAGTCAATATACTGCCCTTGATGCTTTGAGTGGGCTTTTCTTCTCAAAAACGTCCCTATGTGATTTGAAAGCATTTACTGACCTTGGGATTGGCAACACAGCAGAGATGACACTTGCCTGATCCAACATGTTTGGTTCCTATTATGAAGAATTTTTTATAGAGAGGTGCTGCTACCTGTGTTTCGGAGTGTAGGGAGGGGCTTGCTTACTAAGTTTTTGCTGAAAATGGTAAATTCAGAGCAAATGGTGGTTTATGTTTTGTCACCCAAGTCCCAAACAAGAAATTAAAAAACTTGCAATATTTTTGAAAAACAAAAACTCTCTTAAGGGGTCTAAAAAGGTGCTAAATATAGCTAGTTGCTTACTTGGATACAATGCTGAAGTACATTGCTGTTCATTTTTATCAAAAAAATGCAAAAAAATCTGTCAGATTGTGCGGCTATATTTTGTGTACATCTGAAAGTAGACATTCTGTCAAAATAGGTCAACAAATGCACTGTTGTAATCAAGACCACAGCAACCAAGGCCAAGGACCAAGGAATACTGAGTCCAAGACAAGGGTCAATTCTTTAGAGGCCAAAACCAAGACCTTATATGGTTTGGGTCTTGGCATCTAAATGTCTTGGCCTTGTCTTGGTCTTGGCCTTATGTGGTCTTCTTTTTTGTCTTGCGCTCTAAAGGTCTTGGCCTTGTCTTTGTACGCCTTAGTCTCGGTTGGTTGTGGTCTTGACTATGACACTACTTTTTAATAAGCTATACATTTGATGAATTAAATGTTTGCTTTCAGAGGAATGAACATTTTCTTCTTCCGTTTGGTCCGGTAAACACAATACGTTGTACCATTATTAACTCTTAACTTGGAGCAACCCACAATTGCTTTCAATTTAACACCCAGTTTTAGCTCAATAAAAAAAAAATTATTTTCTGCAATTATTTTCTTACAGTGCAGATTAGCCACAGAGTAAATCTGCCTCTGAAATTCTTTGTTGATGAAAGAGACAAGAATTTACAAAAAAAAGATGAAAAGCTTGCGGGTTTATATCAGTCTATTGAATGAGTTTGATGGTTGGTTCTGAACCCAGTCTCCAGGTATTACTTTTGGAGGCTGCACATACAAGATTTTTATTTTTCTGGGTTTTTAAATTTCTGATATAGAAATGAGTTGAGCTAGGCATTTTATAGATCATATTAAAAATGGAAACATTTCTGCAGTAATAAATCTGCTTCTAATTTATTAAAGAAAACTTGGTATTTTAAAAGGATAGTGTCACAACAGACCTACGGTGTACTTTTTTTTCCCTTTTTTTTAACCAGTCAAATAAGGAATAAGACTTAACTGAATAACACCACAACACCTAACATCTGCCTGTAATCTCTTGGGTGGCACATGCAGCCATCACTGCATCAACATTCGTTGCTCAGCTACGGTGAATTGTCTCCAGCTCAGTAGCCTCACTAATAATCCTTAAGTATAATCTTCAATTAGAAGCGCAGCACTAATCTCTGACAGGAATAATCGTAGCGTTTAGGATCTATTTGGTGTGTGTTCCTGTTTTTGTCCTTAAATTCCTTGTCACAGAGCTGTTCATGATAGGAGCTTGAAGTCTACAGTCTGTGGGTAGTTTGGTGTTTTTTTGTGTCTTTTTTTGTTTAGCCTTGGAGAGGGGTTCACATTGATGTAATCAGAAACGGTTTAATAGTTGGACTTCATAGTTAACTCTGAAATTATATTATGCTGTAACACATTCTGAGTTCCTTAATTTGTTGAAAGAGGAGGGAACATACTGTAATCCTGATGCCTTTAGAAGTATAGAGACAGCTGGCTCATTGAAAGGAATATGTGCACTATCAGTCTCTTTTTTTTTCTCCTGTCTCTGCCACCATTCAGCCAATAACATTCATTCCCTACATGAAGAAGCAATAACTCGCAATCTATTCCCTCAACTCTGCACCTCTGAAGAGATGTTCGTCGCCCGAGGAAAAGTGCTAGACTGACTAATTTGGTTTTGCTTCACCTGGGAGTTTGTCAACATCAAATAACAGCCAAATGTTCTTCTCACCATGTAATGTGGTGAATTAGCTATTACACCCCTGCTCATCCGGTCGTTTGTTGAATAGTACCCAAGTTCCCCTGGTATTTTAAAAGTGACAGTGACACTTACATCGCAGAGTGTTGGTTTTTCTGGATGACCTAGTACATTTATTTATTTTTTACTTTTGCTGTAGAACCAGCCACTGGCAAAATATTTATTATGATACATTTTTCTTGATTACAAATGTTTCATTAGTGTCTGCTGATAAATACATTATCCTCAAACACTGCCATTTTATCGTATAATTACGACTTTAATTATCATGATATTGATTTCCACCACACCTCCCATCTTTCTACATCAATATTCCATGGCAGAATTGAATGATGCTTCATTTGCAGTTATTTGCATGTTGGCCTTCTGCATGCTCATATACTGTCATAAGCTGGAAGGGCACATGCTGTACCTGAAGTAATGGGCCATAAATCTGCACACAGGGTCACATCGTAATTGATGTTTTGTAACCTTTGACTTTCCCCTTTCTTTAATTAGTTGGGATGGTGAGCGAGGGGGAGTTCTTGGACATCACAGAGATCAAGAGGGAGCAGGCCGAGGACTATGAATGCATCACCCACAATGGTGTGGCTCCCCCTGACCAGCAGAAGGTCAGAGTTACTGTAAACTGTAAGTACCTCTCTGTTTGTTGGACAGAAAGGCCCAGTGGTCATAATAAAGCTCAACGTTATGTGCATAATTATGTATAGATAATATATGTAAATTTTGTGAACACATTAGTACGTACACTTTTTGATTTAATTGTCTACAGGCATTTTTCAACCTTGCATGCACTCCCCCATCAGACCTCACTTGACTATTTAGCAAAGGTCAGTGTATACTAATTACTGAACCGACTCTTGCTGATTTTTCCCTAATATTACCCACCAGACCCTCCAATGATCACAGAGATAAAGAACCAGCCTGGCTATCTGGGGAAGCCTGCTATCATGAGGTGTGATGCAATGGCAGTTCCAACAGCCACATTTGAGTGGTACAGAGACGATCATAGGTAAGACTGTTTCTATAGCTTGGAGGTTGGGGTTGCGACGATTATTTAAGTTACTATATATATATCTATATATAGATATATATATAGATATATATATAGATATATGTATATATTCCTCACCCGCTGCCCCAGAATATCTGCAAAGTATCTTTGATGTTCCTAGAATTGCAATTTTCTGGACCGAGATGTCTGATATATTTCCAAGGATCTGCTGTAACCATTCCTTAAGTTTGGGGGTCACTGCCCCGAGTTCCCCAATGACCACAGGTACCACTGATGCCTTGACATTCCAGGTTTTCTCCAGCTCTTCTCTGAGCCCCTGGTATTTCTCTAGATTCTCATGTTCTTTTTTCCTGATGTTGCAGTCACTTGATATTGCTATGTCAACCTCAACGGCTTCCTCTGCTTTTTGTCCACTGGTCCGTCTGTATCTGGAAGTCCGACAGGAACTTGGCTTGGTTATTCTCTGCCGTCTTTAGAGGTGTTTCCCACTTTGACGTTGGGTTTTCCAGCCCATACTCTGCACACATGTTGTTGCATACTATTCCAGCCACTTGGTTATGGCGCTCCATGTAAGCTTTGCCTGCCAACATCTTACAAACTGCAGTTATGCTGGATTGTCTCAGGGGCCTCTTTGCACAATCTGCACCTGGGGTCTTGTCTGGTGTGGTAGATCTGGGCCTCTATTGCTCTGGTACTTAGGGCCTGCTCCTGTGCAACCATGATGAGTGCTGTGCTGTCCTTAAGTCCGGCTTTCTCTAGCCATTGGTAGGATTTTCTGATATCCGGCACTTCAGTTATGTTTTGGTGGTACATTCCGTGTATGGGCTTATTCTCCCATGACGGGGTCTCTGGTACCTCATCTTCTATTCCCCGCTGTCTGAGACATTTACTAAGGTGTCATCTGTATATATATATATATATATATATATATATATATATATATATATATATATATATATAT